TGATTTAACCAAGTCCAACCCCTGCCTCCTCAACCACCACTCTTGGGCTTGTCCATCAGACCCATTTCACAGAAGACAGCTAGATCCCAACTCTGTTTGCAAGATCGTAAAACTGTTCATTATTCCATTTCTTTTTTGCCATTCAGAGTGTGCCACTTTATTTAAAAGGAACAAATATAATAGTGCTTATAAAAGAAGCAGAATTACAAAACTCAGATTTAAGATCTTGCTACTTTGTTCTGGGTTCAGGTCTCAACCCTGTGGATATGATGAAGCCTAGAGGGCCTGTGTGTCCACGAGCAGAAGTGTCATTACGTGACTTGTCTCTGGAGGTAATGAGCCCCAGAGAGCCCTGCTGTAGCTGTGTTTAGTATTACCTCTTTCCTCAGGGGTATCAGTTCCAGCCTTTAGCTGTTCCGTCGCCATGCACACACCCCTGTCACAGCACTGATATAGCAGCCATGTTTGTCAGTTGTCTTCCTGACATCTGCTTTTGTCTTTCTTTAATGCTAAAAATACCTAATGGTGATGTCTGCTCAGTCTAGCTACCTGTCTTTGAGTACTTTATATCTATCTGTGTCAGTAATCTGTACATAACAACTAGACAGCTGGAAAGAGAATTATGGGTAGGAATATTAATAAGGTCTTTGTACAATCGCAATGCTGCAAGAAACAGAACTCACGACTTTTCATTCAACCTTTTTGCGAATATAAAATCAAAAGTGACAGCCATATGAATACCCATAATTCATTACAACCAGTGTTCTTAACTCCCACACCAAACCGGAAGAGTATTAGGCAATACTTAGGCAAGCAGAAATAAATAAAGCTCGACATGTGTGACACACTGGAGTTCTGTACAGCTAATTGATATGCAGATTACATATTTTGGGCACTCAGGTGAAAGAGGCATCCACAGTCACGAAAGACCATGAGCGAAACACCATCAATAACAAATGAATGTAAAATTAAAGCAAAATGTTTCAGTTTTACTTTGCCTACCTCTATTTGAGAAAGAAAGCAAAGGGGCAACTCTCCTCCACGGGTCCCGTTGGTTTGTCGTGGTTCAGTGTTTCATCGAACACTGCGTGTCTTGTGTTAATTCTCCTCCTCCTGCGTGACTCACTCCTCTAAACGAGCAGGGGAGAATGTGTAAGCGAGGAGCCCCCCACCCCGAGTGACTTCAAGGGGCGCGCTTGTGCATTTCCAGTGAGGCCTTATTGTGACCCCTCTGGACCTGAGACGTCATGGAGGTAGGGGAGCCCTCAGTCAAGAGCAGCCCTCTAGAACCCCTGCGTCCCCCCACACGAGAGCTGACGGCCATCATGGCTTCGGCAGGGACAGTCGAAGGGAAAGGTGTCAGCAGCTGGCTGAGCAGAAGGGCTGTCTTGCCTCCTGATGAGCTATTGCTCTATAAATAACTCCCGACTGATAGGTCACCCGATCAACTGGCACCTCCACACCAGCGCCTCACTACAGCACTGTGCACCGCGAGTGTGTGTGTGTGTGTGTGTGTGTGTGTGTGTGTGTGTGCAAGCCTGCTCTGAGCCAGGACAGGGAAAGGCACAGCAGTGCACGCCGTTGCGCATGTAGCACACAATCAACTGAATTTAGCAGCTGCACTTCAATCCCATTAGCTTTCTGGTCGAGGCAATTTGAAAAATATTTTGCCTGCGTCAGATGAACTCCATAATAGAGTGTTCCTGGCCTTTTGATAAACTGCTTTTCCTATATACAGTATATGTATTTTTTTTGTTATGTTCCACCGCAGTTCCATAAGGATCTCAGACAGGCCATTGCTCTCATTGGTTAATCTGTTCCCTCTTGGCGCCTCTTATTAAATGAGGGCTTGACTGATTGAGGTTAGGGGAAGGGGAAAGCGTTTGAGTCATCTCACAGGAATCTGGCTTTCGGTGGTGCCAGCTCATTAACTGGGCCGCTTCACTGTGGGACTCAGATCCTGGGTATATGCTGTAAATGTATATTTATGTATGACCAGCTGTTAATTGACAAGAAAATCTAAATAATATTAAAATGCAGTGTTACGCTGCACTATTTTTCCCTCCTCAATATCTGAGCCCTTCTGAAGGTTATGCTTGGTAAACAGGTTAGTTAAGCTTTTCGACGACGTCAGAGAACAGCTAAATAAATTATTAGGCTATTTGATGTAGAAAGATTGTTCAATTTCATACATGACCATTCCATTTATTACAGAATAATTTATTTAAACCTCTGGAGCTTTTTTTATATCCAGGATATTTAAATGGACACCTCTGACTGGCTGAGGACCAGATCCCAAACAAGTCATGTCGTGTCATTTACCAAACTGCTTTATCCCATACGGTGTCGAGGGAAGCTGGAGCCTACCCAGAAAGCAACGGGCATAAGGCAGGGTACACCCTGGACAGGACGCCAGTCCATCGCAGGGCAAGTGCAAGCCAATCATACAGGGAACAATTTGGAGGCCACGATAAAGACGGAAGTTGTTCCGTCTGCGTGTCAGTTGACCTTATTTTCTGTGCATCATTGACCAGCCCTAGTAAGGACGAGAACTTCGGAAGGGAAGCAAAAATAAAACTACTGAGATGGTTCTCGATCAAAGAACTTCTGAACTGACAATGCATGACTATAAAAGTAAGAAAAAACATATCATGTGACAAAAAGACCTAAGCACAGCGATATAATTTGCTAACAACACGAGCATGTTCGATTTGAACCCCATTGACAGAAACGTATCGTGGCATAAAAGTGAAATACCACAGGTTGAATTTGAAACTGCTAAACTGGAAACGCGTTAAATGAGAGACCGAGGCAAAGATGCAATTTCGGAAAAAAATTGTAACCGAATGCCGTAATTCGCCTGCCATGCAGCAATTTTCTCTGTAAATCTAAACTGGCCTTCAGTTGGCTTCTTCAATGCATATTAATAATACAAAATCCCATGGGAGATAACTATTACCTTCTGTTCGTGATAGAGCTTATTATTGCATTACTAAGACGTTCAAAGCAAAGGTCAAAGGGCAACTATTTTAACACACTGAGAATCAATGAGGTCAGTACATTTCTGTTTAGATGATGGGATTTTCATGTTCTTTCGTGAACTGGAAAACCGCATTCGGGAAAGAGAACACTTTAAACTTTAAATTATTCTTAATCTTAATACGGTGCCGTATTTGTGCCTCGATTATGGTTCGAATACCAAAACGTGCGCAAAGTGTTGTGGACATGTGGCCTTTGAAAGCAGATGTCGGGCCAACACCCCGAGGCTCAAGGGGGGTTCTACAGCGAAAGAACCCGATATTTTAGAAATATATGTGTAGAAACCTGAATACTTTGACATGTATCTCCTAATGACATCCTTTCTTGGAAGCGATCTTCGATGTTGCGTAAAACGTTGTAAATCATGATAACAGAACGACCTGTTTTTGCGCGGAGCAGCGTGCAGACTCGAGAAGAAGCCCCAGACAAAGCATTTCTCGGATACCTCTTCAGATGGGGAACTCCATGCCTCTTTCACATCACAGCACCCGATCGATAAAGCAGGGCTTAGTACTACGGTTGAATTGCATTAGATTCGCGAAAAGAGCCTAGTGACGTTGTGGAGAAACGCCGGGCTTGGGAAGGAAATTAAAGCCTGTGTTTTGGCATAGTTCAGCAACAGAACTGCTTTTCCGGAGGTCTTTCTTCAACTCAAGACGTGTCATTCATGTCGACAAAATCCACGTCATTTTATATGGCATTAATTCAGTTGGGATGGTTATTTTATTTGACAGGATGGAGAAAAATATCGGAAACCCACAGAGGCGCCCGTGAGGAATCCAGCCAGCGTGCATCGCCGTGGAGGCTGAAACAATTCTCAACTATTCGTGACAATATACAGTAGATCACTACTGTGCTCGGTGCATGAACCCTAGATATGGCAAAAAAAAAAACAACAAACTCACCACATACACTAACGAACGAGTTTAACCAAAATAAATTATCGCCAACATGCGCACAAAACGTAATAATTGTGTATGCCCTTTCGATATCAGTTGTCTGGGGCGTCATAAAACAGTTTGAGATTTTATTTCCAGAAGATTAGTTTTAAAAGCGGTCTTGAGAAAACACTAAAGCATTCATTATGCATTCAAATAAAAAGGGGAATGTTTAAGTTTTTTAAAAGATGTTCACTTTCCGAGACTTTTTTTTTTTTACGCAGTCTGTTCGATGGCCTTTAATTTTTTTTTAAATCTTATTTTCGCCTTTGAGTCAGCGGCTTCCTCAGCGCCCAGCCCCCGCGGTTAAACACGACCCAGCCGGATCCTCTGCAGACGTGTTTCTCGCTGGACACCCTCAAACCACCCATCTAGCGCCGGTGCGATGCTCGGTCGTGGGGAGAGATGGCTACAAGCCCCCCCCCCCTTCCGAGCATCTGCCACCACCACTTCAATTATTATTCTTTTAAAGTCATTCATTCATCCCCTCTGCGCATATTGCTGGCGATACATTATTCTTAATGTCTGGCAGCTCTTCGCCTTTCTCTGGCGACTGAGTCATATATTCTCAAATACGACATTCATTGCTGGGGATGGATCACGCTTTACAGTCCAAGCATATTTATTGCGCCTATTCGCAGGCTATTATATACAGTGCGTGCGTCTTTATACGGCCTAGTCTTTTTCCAGTTGCATAAATACAGGACTTGTGGAGCATCATCTTTTAATTCGCAGCCTCTCTCTCTCTCTCTCTCCCTCCCTGGGTTCACTCGCCTATCTTTAGTGGTCCAATCAGGAAATGTCTTATCCCGTCTCCTCATCTCAGCCATCAGGAGGTGGCTAATGGAGCACACGAGAAAGGGGGGGGGAAACTAAATTCGCGCCTATCCACCTCCCGAGCGCATCTTTCAGGCTGTGGTGTTCTGCGTAAGGCACTCGTCGGGGCTTCCGCGGGGCCAGTGAATCAGCAGACGGCGCCTGCTCCCGCCAGCGTCGCCGGCGAGGAAGAGCGCACGGCCGGAGCGCTGTCATTTCGGCGCTGGAAGTGAACCGTTTGTTGTTCCCTCTCCAAGACGGAGCCGAGCCCCCCCCCCCCGACGCCTTCGAGCAACACGGTGCCGCAAGCCGGGCGGCGCAGACGTGGGGAGAAGTCTGCTGCAACCCGGCGCTCGCCTTCGCCTCGCATAGTTTTTACTGAATGGGATCCGGAGAAGGAGAGGGGTGTTTATTGGCGTTTTCAAAGATCTGCCGTGTGTGTGTGTCGGGCACAGATGAAAGAAACTTCTCTGCATAACGGCGAAGACTCCGGCATCCTCTCCGAAAACTGTAATGGATCGGGAAATGGGGTGATGTTCTCACAGGCGGACGGGATGTACCTGCGTGGGAACGGGTTCGTACCGCGCGGGTCTGGCCAAGTGGGAGTGAATCCGGCTCAACTGCAGACGCCACGATTTGTGTAGCAATGCACAAACGTGAAAAAAAAAAGGCTGAATCCTTGTTCTAAGGCAGCGTGCTACCGAAAACAGCCGTTTCTACACACAGCTTCACATGGGGAAATTATGAAAAATATATAGAACAAATGAAATACACTAAGTTGTATTTATGCATCGATCCTTCCAAAGCAGGGGAGCACATGTTACATGCAATTTAATATAAGAAAACAGCAGCAATGCATTAACCGTGCCTGTAACAGCTTTGTTCAATTTGGGTTTTTTTTTTTTAGAATTGAAGGCATAATGAGCAGTTTGGAAATGCGTTTGATAGGTACTAGATTACGAGTTGAGAACTGCAATGAATGAGCCAGGATTTACCTTGTGTCACAGAAGTACCGTGTCTACTGACATGCTCGAGTCTGTTTCAGATATGACATAGCAAATCTGCAGCAACATGACCGCTCGCAATCACATCTGTTTTCAACTTAAGGAGACATTCGATGACAATGTTGCGAAGCGCTATGTGTCTCACAACTGTTGGTTCATGCTTACAGGCTAAGAACATTTTCTAATATTAGCCGTACATTCGTTAAGCATTTCGTTATTGTTTGGCCACATAGAGTGCACGCACTTCAAACCAGGACACTTTGCAGTATTTTATGAACCGCTTCCCCCAGATTCGAGCATTTTCTGGTACGTAGCAAAAGCCTTTTCTCCCCCCCCCCCAGAAAATAACTGCCACGAGTCTCCAGCCACCTGGCTGAGTAACCCCCCTTCAGCTTCAGTAAAATCAAAAACCCCTTCGCTTAAAAATACAACCGACAGCGGAACAAGACACGCTTTAAAGAAGTACGTGTGCAGGAGAAAAAGAAACAAAGCGCCCTTTTATATTTTTTCTGTATGTTTTTTAAAATGCGTGACACTCCACGCTGTTGTGATTTTTTTTATATATATATATTCGGGTGACCCTTTATTGTAAATATGCAGAGAAGCGGCATCGGAGCTAGGATCCTGAGCAAGTTGAAGCTGCCGACCGAGGCAAACTTGTATCAATTCAATTTCGTTCTCCAAGCCGACGAGCCTTTTGTCTTATTTTTCAATTAGAGAGTATTTCCCTATGGTCGTGCCCCTCGATGGTTATACCCTGGCGCTGGGAGAGGCTCGGATCCTGCAGATTCTTCCTCGCCTTCCCGGGCTCTCTGTACTCTTAGGATGTTGCGGCAGGTTTTGCACGAAGGACTGAGGACGTCTTTCTCCAAGCTCGGCCACTTCGTCGCCAACCACCCGGTGTTCTTCGCCTCCGCTCCCGTCCTCATCTCCATCCTGCTGGGGTCTAGTTTCAGCCATTATCGGGTCGAGGAGAACGTGGAGTACCTGTTGGCTCCCAAGCACAGCTTGGCTAAAATCGAGGGCAACTTAGTGGATAGCTTATTCCCCGTCAACAGATCGAAACACACGCTGTATTCGGACTTGCAGACCCCCGGCAGGTACGGCAGGGTCATCGTCACCTCCTCCGCCAGAGGAAGCATCTTGGATCAGCACCACGTTGACCTCATTTTAAAGGTACGAATAACAGACTGAGGGGGGGTTGTGTGAGAGGGTGGGTGAGGCGGGCGAGCTGCTAATTCGACTTTAATACGGCGACAGCAGCAGACCGAGCAGTGTCTTGGCATGTCGTGCACCGGCTAGGCACGCCACAGCCTGACACCTGTGTCAGTCGGCACAGCAGACGCCTCGGGAGTGACGGTGTGCCAGCGCTCTGCAAGGTGCTGGGTGTGCCCTCTCTGGAACAGCAGGCCGGTTCGGCATTCGTCTGAAACACCTCTGTGTGGCAATTCACGGGCTGTCACCTTGTCAACAGCAGCGTCCGGGGAGGAGGAAGGGTTATCACACGGAATTATAAGATGTCTTTTTAAAAAAAGGCCTAATTATGCCATTTAATTGACCCGAGCAATTTATTTTAATTGACTTTTCAGCGCACCAGCTACACGTCTTTTTTTTAACCGTCAGGCACAACAATGCGGTGATAATGAACAGGTGAGGCAGACACAACAATGTGTCACAGGCTTGCTGCCGCCACCCCAGTCACCCCGAGAACATAATCTGTACGTCTCTCTTATGCGTAGACAAAATTGATCAAAAAACTGTTGCTGAACGGATGCTTTAAGTGATTAAAAGCAGTTAAGAAAATCAAATATGGGCAGAAGAAAAACGTGGTGGTTTCCAGTTTGCTTAGCGCCTTAGGGCAACTTTTGGAATGTAATATTTGCGATTGTGGCGGACACACGCGACCACGAGAGTTCAGCCTTTATTAATGTTGTAGTTTTAGTGCTTTTAGTGACAAACTCTGAAGCCCAAAGAAAGTTCTGCACAGAAAAGTACTTTTCTAGAGCCATGGAGAAATCGTTTACAGATCAAGGATTACAGAAGCAAAAGCTCTGACCGTCCAAAATGTTTCCCACTGTTGCAATGACCATACCAAGGCGAAAGTAGATAACTCGCTTTGTGTAGTCACACTGTGGCCTGAATCCACAGTTTTAGCTGACAGATCGATGTGTCCAGATTTCTGTTGTGTGGGCAGGTCTTATTGCCCTAAGGATACAAGAGCTGCAAAAAGGAACCGATTCAAATGTGGATGATTAAATGAATACTTCAAATGCCACGAAGTTAGTAATCAGTGGTGTACCACAAGGATCCAGTTTCGTCCCACTGCTCTTCTTGATCCATATCAGGGTTTAAATTCTGGTAGACCTCAAGCACGAGTTAAATCCGCAGATGAGACTAAAGTAGAGAGAATGGCAAATAGAGAAGTATTTGAAGGGGTACAGTACAGAGCAAAAAATGTGGGATTTAAATCGGAGGGGTTTATGCACTAGTGAAACTTCACACGGAATACCGTATTTAGCTTTTGTCATGATGCCACAAAAAGCATATATTAGGCCAAGAAAGGGTTTGATGAAGGGCAACAAAAATGTTTCATGGTCTCAGTGGCATTTTATGCAAATATAGGTTAAGGGGGGTAAATCTCTTTAGTCTGGAACAAAGGAGATGAAGAGGATATTTGATTATTTGATCTGAAATCGTATTATAAGATCCTACGAAGTTAAACAGGGTCAGGGCAGCTGGAGACTTAGAGGTCATGAAGTAAGGATGCGGAACATTTCTTTACACAAAGAGCTGTAGGTGTCTGGAACAGGCTGCTCACCCAGGTGGTGGCTCCTTCAAGAAATCTCTGGCTAAAAGTTTGAACTCATTTAGTTGCTAATCTTCCAAAAGAGCAAGGAGAACCTTCCTGTTGTTTACAGCCTTTTTAATGTTCATATGACCATGGTTAAAATGCAGTGAGTCTGCTGTCCCAGCAGTTTCACTTTCCATCTAGTGAGCTTTGATGCAGTATTCCCGGGGAGTGATGTCATTTTTAATTTATGTTGTGAACACACTGTAACTGCAGGGCCTCAGATAAAGTGGTATCATTATTTTAAGTAGTTTTTAATTATCCATCTCTTTGGCGATTTCCACTTAGGCCAGTTAATTCTAATAGGTCCGTGGAGCATTTCCAAGCAGGAATTTGGAATTTAATTTCAGCGTTTTGTGTTGTTGGCACAGCTCATGTGTATTTCAGAACGTCTTGAGCGACAGGTTCTGCCATTATTTATCCGACACTTTGATTCAAAGCGATTTACATTTGTGCCCGTTGATAACTTCTGAAGATTTTACAGGTAGAGAAAGTACTTTGCTCCAGGGTAAAACAACACCATGCTGCCTGGGATTCGAGCCCGCAGCTTTTGGGCTGTCAGGCCACAGCCCTAAACACTCCTCTACGTTGCTGCCTGACACGAGTCCTCTGTGCACGCAGAATGACCCAGATGCAGGAAGTGGTACATGTGCTAAAAAACAGCTCCTAGACTTAAACCTCATTTTAAGGCTTTGATGCTGCAGCACATCACATAAAAAGGACATTATGGAATCCATGTCAATCTGAAACATAATGGATTCCATTTCAATCTGAAGGCTCTCCTTTTCTGACCATGACACTGCTGTCATCTAGCATGCACTATTGGATTTCATGTGAAATGCACTTTCATTTGTGAACCACCAGGCCCTTTCCATGTCTCCTGCTCTTTCTAGAGTTCAGGCCTATTATGCCACTGAATTCCTACAGCTTTTCAGGACAGAATATATTGCACTTTGTAATAGAGCAGATTTCTGCTGCTGCAGAGCAACATTTGCATTAAGCCTGTTCAGAGGAGTCTTCCATTGTTTTGTATTACCGAAAATACGTAAAACTGTGGAGGGGGTGAGGGTGGAATTCGAAAGGAGGCTTTTCTGAGCAGGACTTTATTGTGCGTTTGTGTAATATGCAGAGCTGCTCTTTGGTTGAAAAATGTAAAATAAGCCCAGTAATGGCTGACAAGGAAGAATATAAAGTTCGTGTCTCCTTAAGTTAAGATTTCATCACTAGGAACGTATTATGATGATGTATTAACAGAGGATTAGGATAATTTATATCCGTCCATTTCCAGTAACTGCTGAGTCCAATATGTGGTAGTGAGCTGGAGTCTAACCCAGTAGACGCTGCATAATTCAGCGTACATTGTGGACAGGACACCAATCCATTGCAGAGGATAATAGATTATGCATCTTATATACCATATATGATTTACAAGACTGGTGCGCAAAGGCCCAGCTGAAGCTGACACGGTCCCCTCAGTCCTTCTAAATTCAGGATCTGACAGCAGCTAATATGAAGGCAGTATTTTAGCACAGGGTCACACCCCAGTGCATCCTTTACCCCTACTGTTAATATCTGTCTGCAGCTGTTGAAGCTGCACTATTTGAAATATGTGATGCCTGAGGGACAGTTACATCCAGGTCTTACTTTTCCAGGTCTCTTAAAGAGTTTAGGCCATTTTATCTAATACATGTCACAGTGGCCAGCGCTGCTGGCAGATTACATGGCCTACTTAACTTCTGTCGGTTCACCCAGGGTTTCACAAACATCATATTCATTTATTTATTCTCTGCCATTTCTAAGACCTGGGAGAGCAAAACGAATTTTCCTGTTTTTGATAACCTCTGTCTCTAACTTTATCTGCAGATGCTAATACATTTTCTCGTCAATGACGCCAGAGAGCTCAGATAAGAGATGAGGCATGAGTGGGGCGCCTTTAACAAAAGTTTAGATTGCCTTTAGAAGCCCGGCTGGCCTTGCAAATTTGTGCTTGTATCTATCTGCATAAATCGTAAAACAGAAAAACACATCTGTGCACTGCCGTACTCAGTGTCATTGAGGTGCTGACCAATGAAAGGAATCCAGATTAAAACAGAAAGTCTGTGTGGGCCAGTATGTGCTTCTCCAGAGTACTGGCTTTCTCATTCATAAAGTAAAATGCATAGCTGACAAACTTTGTTTCATCAGACATTTCTACATGAATGCCCACAGAGACCTTTTGCTTTCACATATCTAAATTATTTTCCCTGCATTCATTTCCTGCATGTCATAATCAATCAATTGATTGATTTGACTAATGATTAGATAATTGAGCCTCCCCTCTTGCAAAAAAAAAATAATTAAATATCCCGTGCAGTATCCTCTGCTCGTCAGTGGGTATCACAGAGCCACTGACACATAATGGCTGATGCCAGCATGGTCTCAGGTGGTCAGGACCTGGGCAGAGAGCACTGTGGGAAGGAGAGACGCCTCCACCTTCAGCTGAGTGCGTTCCCATTCAGTGGTGCAGCCAGGACTTTGGGGTGGCAGAGGGGTGGCAGGGGCACCTACTGGGGTGGCATTTTTAAATGATATGATTTGCCTTCTTAAATAGGAAGCACTGCTGAAAGGTGTACAGCTGTTCTTCTCCACACCTGTTACACTGGTGACCCCTGTTTGACACTACATCTGCAGCGATTCGCCAGACATTCACCGACACTGACCACTTACATCACTGATTACACGTACGCTTTTAAAAAAACACTCAAGCTGCGTCGGGATTGTTTCCCACGCTTACGTTTTCTTTCGTTGGTAAATTTAAGACAAAATGGGATTTTTGTTAGCGCCCAGAATGGGGTGGTAGCTGGGGCAGAAAACGCCACTCCGTGCCCCTCTCTGGCTACGCCGCTGTTCACATTACAGATGTTACTGGGCATTACAGATGCCTGCAGGCTTGATAAGAGGTATGAAATACACCACTGAGTTGAAAGCTGAGATCCAGCACAAACGCAGCAGTGTCTGGCATCTTGGCAGATTGCACCGGGTCAGGCCTGACGCTCCTGCACAGGTTTCTGGGAGTGTGTTCAGGAAGGCTGCTGTGAGAGGGGTTGTTTGCCTTTTTCGAACCCAAGTGCTGCCGTTTCCATTGCCGCCCTCTCCTGTGCCCTTTCCCGTTCCAGCTGCACGGCCTGGTGACCAAGATCCAGGTTCACATGAACGGCTTCAACTACACTTTCGCCCACATGTGCATCCTGGACGACAACAAGAGCTGCATCGTGGACGACATCCTGCGCGTGCTGGAGGAGCTGCGGGCCGCGCGCTTCGCCAACCGCACCGGGGGCGCCGTCCGCTACCCCATCACCTACCTGAGGGACGGCCGCGAGGTCTACATCGGCCACCAGCTCGGCGGGGTCCAGTCGCCTGGCAAAGTTCAGGTGAAGCACGCCGAGGCCGTGCAGCTCACCTACTACCTGCAGGCCGTCAACTCCCTGAACGACGTGGTGGCGGCCAAGTGGGAGACGAAGTTCTGCGAGACGGTGGAGAGGTTCCAGCAAGCCAACGGCGAGCTGAAGATGTACCCCTTCACCTCCTCGTCGCTCCAGGGGGACTTCCAAAAGACCAGCAAGGTTTCGGAGCGCCCCCTCATCACCAGCCTGGCGCTGTGCGTGGCGCTGGCTGTGCTCTTCTGCTCCATGCGGGACTGCGTGCGCACCAAGCCCTGGCTGGGCCTCCTGGCTGTGGTCACCATGAGCCTGGCCATGCTGACCTCAGCGGGCATCATCAACCTGACCGGGGGCAAGTACAACTCCACCTTCCTGGGGATCCCTTTCATCGTACTGGGTGAGTGTCTGCGCGGCTCGTGACGCCCTTGCAGCGACCCCCGCGGGGCTGCAGGAGGGGGCCCTAGACTCCGTTTCGCTCAGTCTTGTGTTTTCAGAAGTGCAGAGTGACGTCGTTCGAGGTCGCAACACATCACTCGGGATTTAAATGTGTTGACCGTGTTTAACAAGGGTTTAGGCTGAGGGCCAGAGGACGAGGAGGCTGGGACCCCCCGCCAGAGAGAGGAGTGACCAAGGGGCAGCTGCAGAGGGGGGGAGATGGGGTGGAGGAGGAGTGCAAAAAGAACGAGAGAAGGGGATTACTGTCCGTACAGTATTTAAAGTTTTTTTATGTGAGGAAATGACGTCAGGAAAGCTTAGGAGTAAGAATAGTTGAGGTGGCTGCTGTTATCCCTCGCGCTCTTTCGTTGTAAGGTCCATCAGAAACTTGGGGCACACTTTTCTTCTTGTCAGTCAGGTCAGGGGGGCAGTCGAATTCTGCAGATTGTAGTTGCAAATGATGATTGGCCTTTAAGGCCCGGCATGATTAATCCCCCCTGGTTTTTTAAATGTATAGATCACACGGTTGTTGTAGTCAGACTAGTGCAGCCTCAGTGTGAGGAGTGTGGGCTTTTCCATTAGACACTGACTCATACCAGATGTAAAGCACACTTGGAGATCAAAAATATTTTCATACAAGTAGTTGCTCTGCCATCTGAAATGCTAATTTTGTTCATTTCACAGTGGAAAAACACCCCGGATCTGCTGTTATTTTACTGTAAATTACAAATTGAAGGGCTGGAAATTTAGGGGCTGGAAAGTATTAAACTATCAGATTGGGCACAGAGCCAAAATGCAATAATTGCCCGTAAGAACATATTCTCATTTCAGCTGCACATAAAGGAAGATCTAACCCTTGGCCCTAATTAAAGGCCTGGAGACACTGAACACCCGTAATTTCATCAGGATTTTTCAGTGTTTTTTAAAAAAGCACTGTACTGTAATTACAGTATTAGAATGGTCTAGCAGTACAATGGCTCTTATCTCCTTGCACAATGAGCGCTTTATTTAAAAATTAATTCCATTACCAAGACATTAGTCTTCAAATGGGTTTGCATTATAGTATACAAATTGTGATACCAAAGATAAGGATGCCTGTAGAAATCTAATTACTTAGATTAATAGTTTGAATAGAGGCTTTTAAAAATGACAAGAACCGTAGAAAAGCATTGGTTTTGCACATTTTAAAAACATATTCTTTGCACATGGCCTTATGCAGAAGTCACTCAGGAGACTGATATGCATACTACATGACAGCAAGCAGTGTAGGAAAAACTGGCACCATCCAACTCTTCTTGCAAAGCTCTGTACAGGCTGTTTCGTGACCATTGGTTTTTAAAGGGGGCCTGAAACACTATTTTTACAATTTGGGAAAGAATGTGGAGAATCGGCATGGATGAGTGCATTTCGAACTGCAATGGAAGTACAAAGTACACAGGAACTTGCAAAACCTCAAATTGACATCACAAAAAAAAGATTACATTTCCAGGAATGCACAGCACCATATCGCTGACCTTCTCTGCAAATTTGAATGAGGCAACAAAACCTCTGGTGACTTGAAATGGCCCTGTGGCATTCTGAGCAAACAGGCTTGTGAATATGTCTCAGTCATCCGATAGAGATATTGCTCTCGACTTCGGGAAAGGTTTGCCAAGGACTAGTTAACTCTGCATGCAGATCACGTTGGAACATTTCTGTGGTGAAATGTCCGCTGCACAACCTGTACTTACTGTATTCGCTCCTACATCGCATTTCATTACTCATTACAGTGACTAGTAATCAGGAAGGGCCGCCTCATGGCCCAATTCTCGTGAACTCCCGCGAGACCAATAATTTGCGACAACATGGCGACCATACGGTACTTTCACAAAGTTAACGACTTTCAGAATTTGTCAAATTTTGTGATAACGTCATTTAATTTATTTGGGTGCCGAGACGGAATAACCGGTCTGAGAAAGTGGGACTACAGCTCCCCTTTAAAAAAGGGTAGGGATTCTGGTTGATAACTTGGCTGCCATTCTGCACCAGCAGGACCAGAAATACAATTTACACCTGATCTCAGCAGAAACAAAAACCCAGTGAAGATCACCGAAAGTATTTCGTTATGTGATGAGAGCAGTCTCGTGTTCTGCCTTGTGCAATGAGCTAGCCTTGTGCTCCCATACAAAAAAATCACACATGACTCCCCAAACACGCAACACAGCTTCTTTGCCGAGCTTGACACCTTGTCGAGCTCTGAGTGGCTATAAACTGCCTGTGTTTCACAACTTGAAGCAAAATGAAACTGCTTCATAAAACAAAGCCTGGCATAAAAATTGTCATGCAAATGGATTGCGGAAGCAAGTGCTGGTTTATTTAGAAGAAGGAATTTGCCTGGAACGAAAGATGTACAGGTAGTTGAGGTTTTTATTAAAAGACAGATCCGATAAAACATAATCATCCCTTTTTTCTATTTTAGTATAAGATACTGTATATGGGTGAGGATGCTATGTTAAAATCACATTACTAATATCTCATTAATGATACGATGTGTACAGTTTTGATCACATTTTTACAAAACATATTGCTGCTCTGGAATCAGACCAGAAAAGAGTAACCAGATACATTCCTCTAGCTAAAGAAGTGTCCTGCTCTGACAAGCTAATAGAACTAAAACTTTTAGTCTTGAATGGAAAAGACTACGAGGGGACCTGTCACACAAACTCAAAATCTTCAGTGGCATCAACAAAGACAACACAATGGACCTCCTGAGAATGAACACTGAAACATGAGTCACAGGACACAAGTGGACACTATGCGTAAATGTAATTAAAACTGAAAACAGGAGACATTTCTTTACACAAAAGGTGGTGGGAGTATGGAACAAGACAAGTTGTTTGCAGAAGATATCCTTTCAGGAAAAGGATGAATGAGATCCGTGAATCAAATACAGTAACTGAAATGGGCTAGATTGGCTAAGTGGTCTACATTCATCTGTAACCTTTCTTCTGATCACTTCCCCATGATCACTAAGTCTGATATATATCTGAACTTGGGTTTTCACCATAAGAAAGAGAGCAAGAATGGAAATAAGGAAACCTATATTGTGTTTGACGGCAGCATTTTATTAGTGAGTTAATGAGCATTTTTAATGTTAAGTACTTCCAGGTTTTAAACCATCGTTAATGGCTCATTATCTCCTAAATTACAAACATATAAATCTGGACGCCTTTTAAACCCTGAATATGTGACATGTTGCACAGTACAGACTCAAATCACAGAATTAATCTGTGGTGGTTTAACCATGCCTTTTGTTCTAGTGTTTTGTTGTGTAGTTATTACTTATGAATTCTAAATACTAGCTTTTAAGCATCATTAATTCATGAAATAGCATTTTTAATGGCACTGTTAAATAATGTCCTACGTTTAAATCTGTTATGTTCCCTTAAATGTAATGCATGTCTCAACTGGCTCTTGCTTCCAGATAAGATAAGCATGTTTTAAGTGCTGTTGAAGTGCTTTGCCACACAGATCAAATGTAAATTGTTCCTTGGAATTGCTTTTTTTTCACACTGTTCTCTATTGTATGCAGATAAACCAATAAAGCTCCCATTGTATAGCAGTTTGAACCATTTCAGTTGTTTCAAACAACAGGCCTTTCTACAGATTGTACTGATAAGGCAGAGATGCATGCAGCTCCTATAATTAGGAGTTCATGTATTTATTTATGCTTAACAGGCTTGAAATATCCAGCACCTGGATAATGAATCTTCAGCCTGCTAAAACTGAAAAGGACACATTTTCGGTGAAGATGGAGTCTTATTTATAGGTGCTTGAGAGTCTTCAAAATATAAAGCGTTTTAAATGCGTGTACAATGTAGAATGTCACAAAAGTAGTATTCTATACATCACTTCAACAGAATGAAAAAAGACCTCCTACTTACATTATTTTTTTTTTCAGTCAATCTGGATTGTGGCTTGGAATTGCAATATTGCTACTGCTACAAATTTCCCAACTTTTGCCCCAGGCACAATGATGCATGTTGGATAAAATCCTAGTAATCAAACGCATCAAGGCTGTAAGAAGCACATATGTGTTTTTTACCATGTAACAGCAAAAATACTACGTGCATTAGTACTTGTTCAGTGCCTGGTGTGAGACAATAATTTGCCATACTTTATAAAAAAAATGTCATAACCCATTTCAGCATGCAATAAACAGTGGTCAGGTTGTTCTAAAGAAACATCTATGTCCAGGGGCTTGCTGGGTCAGTGTCAGAATGCAATATTTCAGGTCAGATCACTTCAGATGAGCTAGAATAAAAGCCATTTTTGCTTTTATTGTTTATGCTACTAAACTGATGTGTGTTCATGTCTAATATAAGCCAAGACACAAAATTGAAAAGTGAACTGCCAAGGTAATTTTTGTTCAGATTTTTAAGTCCCTTGTCATATCCTTTTCTTTATTTAACCTCTTAACTCTAAGATTTACACATCTAGTTTTTTCCTTGTCTTTCTAAATTTACTAATTAGGTTATTAGCCTTTCAAAGCAGCCGCAGGTCTAGGTACTGAATGCTAAGCAGTGCGTCATGGTTGTCTAATTGGTGAATTTGAAGACCATTGCCAAGGGCAGAGTCTTCTGCAGGCAGCCTTGGTGTGAATAGTCACAGGAGTATTTCATCTTTTCCCCTTTGTGTCTCGGGCTCTCTTTCTGCCTTCCGTGACTTCTCCAGGTCAGCCTCTAAGCATTATTGTTTTTGACAGAAACTGCAGGCGACATCCCAGCTGGCTCCTAGACAACCAAAACTGACAGTAGAGCGAACTGTGAGAATGCGATGGGTAACTCATTCCTTAGGGGCAGCACGGTGGTGCATTGGTCAGGATTGCAGCCTGGGGCCCTGGATTCAATTCCAGATCTGGTGCGCTACATGCGTGGAGTTTGCATGTTCTCCCCGTGTTTGTGTGGGCTTCCTTGCACAGTCCAAAGACATACTGGCAGGTTAACTGGTTTCGGAGAAATTTGGCTCTGGGGGTGAGTGTGTTTGTGTCCGTGTGTCTGCCCAGAGATGGACTGACATCCTGCCCAGGATGCAGCCTGCCTTGTGTCCTTTGCTCGGCTCGGATAGGCTCCAGTTCCTCTGAGAACCTGAACTGGAAGAGGCGGAGACAAAGCACACGGATGGGTGCCCCGGCCTGCACTGTTGCAGTGCGTGGTCTGATCCACCAACCTGGACAAGTATTCTGTGTCTGTGCACATTCACCACACAGAGGAGACCCCGGAATACCGGTTAGGGAGATAGCTAACTGCAAGTTTTTGGGAGTCAAAGGTGTTTAATCACCCACAGAGAGGGGTGCTAAACATGTTTATCCTTAAAGTTTGATTCAAACGTTGCATTAAAAAGAGTCACCGCTGCTACGGTTCACCCCTGTGACAGACTCACACCCCGCTGTTGGGAGAGCTACATACTCTCAGGTCCGCCTGATGCGACAGAGAGCCCAGTCAGCCCTGGTCTGATGGGTCTGTTCGCTCAGGTACGAGCTAAAACAACTTCAACTCCAGCCAGATAAACCAGTGACCTCCGCTTCAGACATACAGGGCAAAACAGTAGGTGGATGAGGGCGCAGTACTAGTATTTGAGGAAACACACAGAGCTGTCAGCAGATGTCATGAAAAGAAGTGAGCGGGAGAGAAATGTGCTTGTGTGAAAACTGAAGCCTTTTGGTAAGCCTTTTGGTAACCTTTTGGTAAGCTGTTAATTTACTGTGGCACGTCTCGAGGTCTTATTGTACGCGTGTCCCTGTGTCCACTGAGATTCATTTAAAAGGCTGCAGTAAAAAGGCACTTTCTGAAAGGCCTCTTTCGGGGAGGATGTGGGACTGGGCCGCTCAGCGCAGGCCGTCTCCTCGACTTGTGCGTTCCCTGCAGACGAGCCAGGAGAGATCCCCCTAGCAGCGCTTCCATCTACTTCAGAGCCATGGGGCGAAGTGTATGTGACATTACTTATTTAGCCTCATGTTCAATTTATCTACAAGCAAGCGCATTCTGAGCCTGGTTTTCTTTCGGGCAAAAGAACAGCACAGCTAATTTCCTCCTGCAGGAGAGAGGAAAAATCAGGTTTACTGTCCATGAACTGCAAGATTCTTGCATAGTTCAAAAAGACGATAACCACCCTTGTATTAAAAATGTAGGTCTTTTACATAATCTCTGAAAGATTAATCCTCTAGTCAGTGTTGCATCTAGCCTGAAACTGCTTAATGAGCCATTCAGCTGCCCTGCCTTACAATTCTTCATTCAAGCCAGCTTGTATTTCTTTGATTGTGCAGAAGGATGTGGATTCTAGATGTACTGTAGAAATTCAAAAGCAGACCTGCTCTCTTGGGTACAGATTTTTTATAGTCTTTGTTTTTGTATGTTCAAGCTTTCTGATTAAACTGCTATCATTTTTTGTCCTATATTTTTGAACAGGAGAATTACAGAGCGTGCATTCACTTAATTTTTTTTTTTCATTGGACAAAAGAGTAAAACCCTTGAGAACCCAAGAAAGTTACAAAGGAGGGTGCTCACTGTTTTTTCTTTGCTGCTAATTTATCTTAGAGTATCTTCCAGAAAGACTCATTCAATTATTTAAATGTTTTGGCTTCATCAAGTTGAACCCATTGAGACGAGTGTGTTTTTTGATAGTCAGCTCCACCATCTTCAGGTGACGGGACTAATTTAAACAGAGGATGGTAGTCTCAGAGTGCTCACTGCCTCTGAATTCATCGGCATTCTCTTCCCAGAAAAAAGAAAATATAGATGAGTTGAAAGATGAAAAGAGCATTGACAAAGTAAGAGGATAGCACTTGCAAACGGACAAACAGGCTTTTAATTATTATTTTTAATTTGGCTAATGTTTCCTGCTTATGTACTTACAGTGTGGGAGTGGTAAATACCTTATGGTCTGTCTTTTCTGACCTAAGACATCATCTCAGGATGATATTATTCCAGGGAACCTTCTACATTTTCAAACACCTACACTTGTACATCTCTTGCTGGCTGGGACTTGTTACCACAGTGAGACTGTCCTGCCTACTGCATCCTGAACTACTTGCTCACAAGATGTGATAGCTGAAGGGAAACAATTTGGCAGTTTTTATGGCTCTATCAAACTACATAAAAAACTGTCCCTTTATCTTTCCTGACTTCCAAGGCGTTATTTTGGAACAAACAAAAACAGCTGAAACCCGTGACTCATCAGGCTGTATTTTCAGATACTAGTACATCTTTATTGGCTTTTTCAGTGAGCAGTGACCTACAAACACAGGGGCTCACCAGTCCCTGTAATTATGATATAAGGTGCCCTGCAGCATTCTCTGTACAGACACAGACTTGGTGAGCTATAACAGTTCATTTCATTTCTCCTTGCATTGCCTTCAGGCATGCATCTCCTGTCCTTCCGCCTTAGCGTAAACGCAAGTTATGTTTTCCACAGTTTCATTTAACTTTAAAGGCGCTGCACAGAATGAGAATCGGGTGAGGGTCCTGAAAATTAGATAGCCCCGCCCCACCCCCCACAATACCCGACTGTCACGACGTTCAGTCAGCTGAGGCCTATCACGCCACACGTGTGCACACATGCAGTAGTGGCTCAGAGAGAGAGGGAACGTAGCAAATAAACATGGAGAGGAGAATAAAAGACAGAGTAGGTAAGAAGAGACAGGGAGCAGGGAGGAAATGGGCATGGAGCCGGTGAGAATGACTGTCCAAACCCAGGGAGAACAGGAAGAGAGGTGTGAAAAGCCGAAATCTGCAAATGAATAGAGAGGATTAGAAGGAGATGAGCCTGTCGTTGAGAGAAGGGGAGAAGGTGTGATCCAAGTTTAAGGATAACTGTGGCTTTGGATGTCTTTCTGCAAGAGGAGTTCTGAAAGCCCTCTGTGAGGACGCAGATGGAGAGATCAGAATGGTCGTGTCCGTTAGAGCTGAAGAGGGGAGAGATCTTTGATCCTCACAGCTCTGACATGTTCCCTGTAATGGTCTGCTGTCTTCTTCCTGTCTCACCAACGGAGATACAGTAGCTGGGAATTTTCTGTGAGAGATGCAGTAAATGAGGTTACTGGAAATACAAGATGTCATCTGGGTGATATGGAATTGTCCAGGGGGGCCTTGAATGTACATTGTATTGGATATTTTAAAGGTTGTAAATGACCACCTATTTATAAAGGCGAATGCTGATTTGACAGTGGGCATCCAAACGTTGCAGGACGGGGCTGAGGTTTTCCTTTTGTCCTCATTTGCCCTTCCGACGGAGAGGGGAATCCGCGGCTGCGACCGGTAATCGCGCCTCTTCTGCCCCTTCTTCTTCTAGGTCACGGCCTGTGCGGGACCTTCGAGATGCTGTCGTCGTGGCGGCGGACGCGGGAGGACCAGCACGTGAAGGAGCGGGCGGCCGCGGTGTTCGCCGACTGCATGCTGCCCTTCACCGCCAGCACGGCGATGTACATGGTGACCTTCGGCATCGGCGCCAGCCCCTTCACCAACATCGAGGCCGTGCGGGTCTTCTGCCGCAACACCTGCATCTCCGTCTTCTTCAACTACCTCTATATACTCACCTTCTACGGCTCCAACCTGGTGTTTACTGGCTACCTGGAGAACAACTACCAGCACAACATTTTTTGCAAAAAGGTGCCAAAGCCAGAGCTGCTGCAGCAGAAGCCAGCCTGGTACAGATTCCTCATGTACACCCAGTATAACGAGGAGGGGGCCGAGTCTGCGGACATGAACGCCTACGAGGGCCACCTGCTGGTCTCCTTCATGAAGCGCTACTACTGCGACTGGATCACCAACACCTACGTCAAGCCCTTCGTGGTCCTCTTTTACCTGGTGTATATCTCGTTTGCCTTAATGGGCTACCTGCAGGTCAGCGAGGGTTCCGACCTCAGCAACGTGGTCGCCACGGAGACGAGCACCATCGCCTACACCACGGCGCAACAGAAGTACTTCAGCAACTACAGCCCCGTCATCGGCTTCTACATATACGAGTCCATTGAGTACTGGAACGCCAGCGTGCAGGAGGACGTCTTGGAGTACACCAAGGGCTTCGTGAGGATCTCCTGGTTCGAGAGCTACCTGAACTACCTGCGCAAGCTCAACATGACCACAGGCCTGCCCAAGAGGAACTTCACGGAGCTGCTCCGGAACGCCTTCCTCAAGCTGCCGCAGTTCTGCCACTTCTCCGACGACATCATCTTCGCCAGGCGGGCGGGCGGGGAGGTGGACGTGGTGGCCTCGCGCATGTTCCTGGTGGCCAAGACCACGGAGAACAAGCGGGAGGAGATGTACATCCTCCTGGACACGCTGCGCAAGCTCTCGCTCACCTCCAAGGTCAAGTTCATCATCTTCAACCCGTCCTTCGTCTACATGGACCGCTACGCCTCCTCTCTGGGGGCCCCGCTGAAGAACTCCTGCATCAGCGCCCTCTTCCTCCTCTTCTTCTCCGCCTTCCTGGTGGCTGATTCCCTCATCAACATCTGGGTCACCCTCGTGGTGGTGTCCGTAGAGTTTGGGGTCATCGGGTTCATAACCCTGTGGAAGGTGGAGCTGGACTGCATCTCAATGCTCTGCCTGATATACGGACTGAACTACACCATAGACAGCTGTGCCCCGCTCATCTCCACCTTTGTGCTGGGTAGGGACTTCACCAGGACTAAGTGGGTGAAGATCACCCTGGAGCGCCATGGGGTCTCCATGCTGCAGAGCTACCTGTGCTACACTGCCAGCCTCCTTCCCCTGGCAGCAGTGCCTTCCAACCTGACCCGCACACTGTTCAGGTGCCTGTTTCTCACTGCCTTCATCTCTTTCTTTCACTGCCTGGCCATCCTGCCCATCATGCTCACCTTCCTGCCTCCCTCCAAGAAGAAGAGGAAAGAGAAGAAGCCGGCCGAGAACCGGGAGGAGATCGAGTGCGTTGAAATAGTGGACAGCACGCGGGTGGTGGACCAGATCACCACGGTCTGAGGATGCGGGGGCAGCATGAGACAGAGAGACAGAGAGCGCATGGAAGCTTTAAGGGTGAGCGGGAGCAGAAATCATCGGATGTTCTGTGGTGTGGGCTCCCCAAGCATGGAGTAGCAAGACCACTCTGTGGTGCAGCAGTAACAGTAATTTATTATGTTGAAGTCAGCAGTCATTGAGTATCTGATAGCCCACTGTTCTGGTTGATAAAGTCACAGCAAATGGCAGTGGAAAACCAGCACAGTTATCAATGCAGATTGCCCTAATTACTAGCCTGTCAAGGTTGATTAATAGGTCAACCGCCATTGGCTACTTACTTGAGACTTTATGAGCGGACTACAGTCAGGATGAGGTGTTCTGACTATTATTTTGGATGTTCTAGGGACGTTGGCGTGGTGGTTTCCCAAGGACTCATGCAGATTTGAATTAAAACACCCCTCAACATGAGCTAAAATGTCTCAACCCTAAACAAGATCCTACAGCAGCTGTAGTTAATTACAAAGCATGGGTGTCCGCAGGTCATTTGAAATGAGTGAGCAAGTGCTTCACTAGGCCAGGAGGGCAGTTTATTCAAGTGCAAGCGCTTATTAGGATCAGAGATGCTCCCAGCTGGTGGCCGATAACAAGTGGTTTCACATTGTAATGAGAGCAGCGTCAGTGCAGTAGACTTCTAACTGACATCTGCTGACAGCTCTGTGTGTTTCCTCAAATACTAGTACTGTGTTTTTAAGAGCTGGCCTCACTCTTCAATTTTAAGGACATTCTTGGAAAGCATAGTTTGTATTTTTTTTGTCCTGTCAGTGTTTATTTTATAAAATAATTTCTTATTAAATACTTCACCAATTTTCAGTTCTTAAATGAAAGTTTTAACATAGGTTAAAGAATATAATGCTCAAAGTCTTTGCAGGTCTACAATGTGAGTAACTAAAGAGTGATATGTGCTGTACAATATCACCATTTTAAAAATATTTGATTCCTGATGTAGTCTAATTTTCTTGTTGAACACAGTTGAAACACTAATTGATGTGCCATAAATTAAACATTTATTTAATTAATCTGAACTGATAGGCCCCAGAAAAAAAATGTATAATTAAAACTGTCGTTTGTTATCTCTAAAATCTTTAAAATCTTTCTCCCACTTTCTACCAGAAGTGGAGGATGAAATGGACAGATGTGCAGTTGAATTAGAGCATTCCATAGTTTTCATTTGTTTTTGCAAAACCCTAATTTCAGTTAAATTTCAGTTTGATCATTATATGGTTCTGGAAATAATGACAAAGTCCAGTAATGTCATTTGTGGAAAGAATCACTATAGACATCTCGGTTTTTACTCCGAAAGACCCTCATCCTGAGTTACAGCTGTGGGGTCACATGGATAAGGAAGCTGGACCCTTAAACCAGGGGTTTCTGCTTTGGTGATAGAGCTGGGGGCTGTCAGAGGAGTGCTGGGATATAGTGGCCCAGAGATTGAATTGATACTGCGGAGCTGGTGATGAATGGAAGTGGGGCTTGTCTTCCTGTCATTAAGAAGTCAAATGCAGTTTGGGAATATTTTTTTCACCAGAGGTACTGTGTGAGTTGGGTTAGGGTTAGTTGGAATACAGAGAATGAAGGCTGTGTTCTTTTTACTTTTCTTCTGTTGTTGCGATTAACATCTCTAGCGCTGTTGTTCTTTTGCCCAGCTGAGCTCTGAAATAAACAAATCTGAGAATGCCAGTGCCAGGTAATTAACTTGCCTTCAGTTAGATTGCATGAAAAAGGGATTCAGGAATGTTTTTTTTCCCGTTAAAAGAATTAAAGTGCTTGCAAATAAACCACCAGGGATAGAAGCTTGTTAATATTCACGAGACAAACAATTATTGGTGAGATGAAGTGTTCAGTGTTAGTCCAGCTATTCAGTTGTGAATCATACTACTGAAGCGAAGACACAATTTTAGGAGGTTTAGGAGGTTTTTAACCACTTTCACATGGTCATTTTCGGGGAAACGAATGCAAACAACTCATGCTTAAAACAACCTTATGGACTGACCTCCCTGTAGCAAAGACAAGTTAGTTTTTATTTAATCAATTTACTCTATAGGGTTCTATAGATTGCAGGCGCTCTGAGTGCTGTGAATTCATGGAGCAAACAGAGATAAAGCACCGGTAGACTGAAGCCTGTGGCCAAATAGTGTGAGTCAAGACAGAGCTCTTTAACATTTGGCATTTTAAAAAGCGTATTTTCACACCTAAGATATAATGCACGGCTTATAAATATTCCATTTTCTCAAGGCTTTACTGGTGAGAAAATATGCACGACCATGTGGAGGATGCATTATCAAAATACAATGGAAATTCATGTCTTTTAAATAAACTCACGAGGAATATTGAAAAAGGTTAAACCCCTAGGATTATAAAAGACTTTTTTTCTATCCCAATTTTTATAGATATTCTGAATGTGTGGCAGAAATTAATATGAATTAATCATTAATATGAATGTTTTCTTTTAATGTCCTCCAGGAGGGTCAGATGCACGACAAATGCCCTAAATTCACATAATGGACGTCAATGGCTTCGAAATTATATTCTTAATATTTTAACCTCTATGAACAGAGTCATGCAATTGAAATTGCAGGAAGGGACTCTGCTGTGCATCCTGAGGATCAATACCTAGTCGTGTCTAGGAGAGAGATTTTCAAATAGTCCTGCTAAATAAGACAATGGTTTTGGAATCGGAGATGAGACAGCATTAGAATGTTGATTGAGGCGGAGAGAAATGTATAGCTCGGCTAATTATTCTCCTGGTGCAAAGTAGCCTCAACATGCTGTAATGCTGTAAACAAGCTGGAGCTTTGCTTTTTGAAGCTGGTGTCAGTGAAGAAAATGGAGGGCAGGACAAGAGCTGGTTTACTCCAAGGGAACTACGAAGGGCTTAATATCACTTTCTAAACAGTCGGAGTTTTCTCCCCTAATGTTTAATCTTTAAAGGCATTTACAATTTGATCCTCCGCCGATATGACAGAGGCGCAGGTTCCTCACAAAAGATTGAGCAATCACAGAGATTTGATTAGCTGACCGAAGACGTGGCTGAAACGCTGTTTTGGCTATTTCATTCCTGATCAGGTCCCCTCTCTGGGTGTCTGCTGCTGAGCAGAAGAACTGAGATGATGATATTTTTCGTCAGGGGACTGTTATCTGGCCAGAGCTCAAAGGAAATGAAATGTTTCTCCATTTCCTTTACCTCCTTTGAAGCCAAGAGCTGGTTTATATTTTAGATATTTGTTTAAGTGCACAATTGCAAGTCTTTGCAAGGTTAAATAGCTGTGAATAATTCAGCAATTAACTGGAATGCTTTGCAAGGCTGAGCAGATGAGAATACTTCAGCAGTCAGACAAATCTGGCCTATCTGTGCTTTTGGTAACAAAAAAAGAAAAGGCAGAAAATACTTCCATATATTAGTAATTGCATTTGGGTGGGGTTAAGATTCTCTTTCATAGAGAAATTCTGGTAGGCTATAATAAGCTGTTGAACACTCCAAACATCCATGAACTGTCTAGACACTACTACCATTAGTAGTTAATTGAAAAGGACCACCTCCTGCCAAGTAGAATTACCTTTTTCAGAGAAACCAAAACATGGATTTCAGCAGACAGTAGAATCTCTTCTGATGGTCAGTAAAGATGCACACTACGGTGCAATTAATGACAATGACAGAGATCTTTAGATTCGGTCCTAATTTGAGGTCAACACACAGAGCTGAATTTTTATATATTGAGTCAAGGGGAGTTTTCAGGGTAATGAAAAAGTAAAAAAAATAAATGATCCTGTGCTTTTTATTTGTACTGGTTGTCACCAACCATAGCAACAAACCTTCATAAATTTTACAAAGAAAGAGGAACTGTTGGATCACTCTGCATACTGCTCCTTTTAGAGAAAGGAAGTAAGGACTGGAAATCGTGATGAAGGGGCATCATTCTTGTGTCTGACAAGTAGGAGTGAGTGTATTTGGAGGCGCTGTAAATGTTGCAGTCAGACTAGGTTTGCATATGATAAGAAAGTGTTTGGCTCATGACCCTCGTTTAGTTACTGGTGGCTAAGTGATGCAGCAAACAATGTGTGGCTGTTTCTTGAAGGAATTGTGTGAGTCAGATCTTTCAGCAGTATACAGTTATGTTTCTAATGGCATGCAGGGGAAACAGGATTCAATTCATTTAGCTTAGCAAAGTGGTACTCCTGGACCGCTATATCCTGCAGCCTTGAGATCAACATCTGTCAACATCACACAACCAGGGAAGCTTGAACAGAGGGCATATCGCATTAGATTCCACGTGGTTACATACATATGAGCAAATTAAACAGAGACAGAAAGGTGTATTTTGAAAATGGGGTCCCTTTTGTGGGATTCTCATGCTTTTCTGGTGTTTCCCTCAGGGCTGCCATAAGAACTGCTAGTGCTGGTCAACACTTTGAAAAGCTGCATTCGGATCAAATCACTGCAGCCTCCGTGCAGCGGTGCTTTTGTACAATCAGCACAGCGTGAGTGCAAAGCCCGTATCCTACATCTGTGCTCCCTGATGGCAAACGCATATCACAGCGACATCCAAGTTCAGCAGTTTCATTCCATGACGCCACGGCTTAAGTGTTTTTCCTTGTCCCCCCCGAAAAAACATAAGACGCTTTTTGTTCGTAAAAGCAGGTCCTCGCTGTCGCTTCTTTCCTCTTTTTTTTTTTTTTTTAGAAGGAAAAGAGTCAAAAATAACAGTTAAGATCTCCGTGGCCAGCGTCTGCCTTCAAAGCAAATGACGAGAGCAATCTGGGTCGATTATCTGCTTGGAAGGAGGGCCGTTGCTCTGGGGAGCAGCTGGGGTTATCTTCTCAATGACTATTGGGCATCATTGTCAATGGCACTATGTGCCTCAGGCTAACCACAGAGCAGAAGGAGCATAGCGAGGCCTGTCTCAGCCTCTAGAAGGATGCCTCACCTTTAGTGCTTGTTTCCAGGACCACTGGCACGGCTTCGTCAAGGACACCGTATGTCCCCGATAGCGGGCACCCCAGCATTCAGAATTCCTCCTTTTTATACACCGCATGTGCACAGAGCTCCCCTGGTTTCAAACAGGGCGAAGCGTTTCGAACAGGCCCTGTCGTAGTTCAAGCACAGCCCGGCCAGCATCTGTCGGAGGGGAGCGAGGAGCGCTGCTGACGAAAAAGCAGTCAAAGAGAAAGAAATAGAAAAGTATGAGGTGACCTTGTCACGCAGGAGCTGGGAGCATGAGGTGCCAGGTTGTGCTTGAAAGCTTTTACCCTCTTCCTGAATAATTTCATTTTTATAAATGAGCAGGAAGGTTCCTGCTTATTGTTCCCGGATAGCAGGAAACCCACTGGCCGCCATCTCATTTACTGACCTCTGCACTCGCCCATCCAAGCTTTGTATGTATTTCATATCTCGTCACGCAGCGTTATAAGAACTCAGGGCTCCAATTAGGCGGAATGGATAAGTGCATCTGAACAATCATCTCGAGAACAGACTACGTTCCAAATAAGGACAAGTGAAGAAGACACTAAAGTTGGGGAAAAAAAAAAAACACTATAAGCTCAAAATATGGTGACTTCTGACTTATATTCAGTGAAAATGAAAGATTTTGCCTGCAAAACATAAGAACTCTCTCAATTTTGTATCTATTTATACAGGTTTCTGAAAAATAAAACACGATGATTAAGAAACTGTTGTTTCTTTCTTTACGCAATTCTGTCGTGAGTGTTGTGTGCATCATCACATATATTGCAAACATGAGTTTGAATTACATACCATATATGCTCAGACATACAGTATATATGTGACCTTATGTATGTGTGTGTCAGATATACTACAGTATTTGTAAGATTACAAGTATTAACGTTTTAACTCCAATTTTATTGATGTAGGCCAGTTATTTACAAAAATTAGCAGTTTCAGTAAATGAAGTGCAGAAGTCTTGCAGGTTTATTGTAGGGGAGGGTACCCATATTTCAGACTGAATAGAAGTTCTTTCAGACTAAGAATGGACCTATGGAGTATTAGAATAATGAAAAGTACACGATTACAACACAATTACTATCTGTATTTCTGCATACAACCGAGAGGATGTGAGCAAACGCAAAAGCAAAAGCAAAACCACGACTTTTAACTGATCAGAAAGGACAGTCCAGCCTCAGCACTACAGAGACACTCCGCTAATCCTCCCTGCTTCTGGATCAGCTCCGGATCCGAATGGCCCTGCAGCTGGGCGGGATTAGTCTTCCCGCGCCCCAGACAGTTGGAGCAGCTGCGTCCCTGCCGGATCCTGGCCAGCACGGAGGTCCAAACGATAGGGACGTCGCTCTCCCAGAGGAGGTGACGCCACAAGCGCCCGGCGCAGCCGGCTGTGGCTCTCTCAGCGGGCTGAGTGGAGTCCCGACAGATCCCAGACCGGCAAGGAAGCCCACACCTTTTGTGCTTGAGCTCTGGGCGCCTTGTAGCCCGGGCACTGCTTCCAGCCCCATTGTGATCGCTCAGGACACTGTCTTATCCCCCCTGCTCCAACCTGCACACCTGCGCTCTTTCCTGCTGGGCTTAGCAGGAGCACCAGGAACGGGGAGCCCCTGGGAGACAGCAGGGTAACCGCAGTTCCTACAGGGGCAAAACAGGTTGTCCCGACTCTCTCCTGTGGAATTCCCAGACACCACTCCCTTCCTGAAAGTGAAACGCCTTCGCCCTCCCCTTGGCAGTTTCACATGCCCCTCTTTCCAACAGCTGCGGGCGGAAATCACCCTCAAGATCACCCCAGACCGCACCGGCTGAATGAAATTCACGCCTTCTTTGAAGCAGTGTTGGCCGGCAGTGGTACACGCAGAAGGGGAGGTGTCGGAGAAAAGCTGAGGCTAAGAGGCTAAAGGTTTCATTTCTGAGCTGAACAGGCCAAGCCCAGCTCCTTCGCTCACTGGCCTCTGCTGTCTGGCGCAGGCTCAGTACAGCCCCCAACCCAAGCAGCCCGAGCGGTCTTGCAGCCACAGCAGGGGCAGCAGTGCCAAGATGCCCTTGGAAGACTGCGGGCTGCTGGGTAAGAGGAGTTCCTACAGGGGCAGAAGCACAAGGTCGCTGACAGTGCTGGGGGCAGATGGCATAATTGCAGCTCTCCTCCGGAGTTCAATATGCTGCTCCTCTAGAAGCAGCGCACTGTAGGTGGGCTGCGAATCAATTATACAGCCGATTGATTGCCAGTGGAACTCGAAGGGAGTCAGCAACTCATGGCACCCTGCTTGTTAATAACCAGAGAATTAGAACATTATATTCACTTTCGGCTGAGAGCAGGCTGCACAGAGACAGGGGCCAGGAGACAGAGCACTTGAAGGGGAAAAGGCCGGCCCAGGAAAATTAATTGGGACTTGTTGCTCTTTTCAGGATTGCAATTGTGTTAATGCTCAATTCCCTTCTTTATTCAAAGGCGTAAAGTGTGTAGGACAGTTCTGCACACAATCTATCACTGCACTCGAAAATGCTTTGAACCACATGAGGGCATCTATGGGTGATACAGAAGAAAGTACAGCATAATAATATATTCATGTACTGTAACCAAAGCTACAAGTTTTTTGTTAAATTATGTTAAGAAAAGACATCTCAAATGAATAATTATGATTACTAATAGTAGTATTACTAATGCCACCAAATTAGGTCCGTTTTAATAAGCAAATGGCTCGTCAACAATATAGAAATGCTTCTGTGAGATTTGTGCTTGATCTGACAGTCAGTAAATATGCCTAGATGGCTAGGTCCTTGAATAGGCTGCGCTGTCTGGAATTATGCCACACAATGTCAAAACTCGCTAGCTATTTGTCAGCATGTCTGCTGCTCTAATGATTCAGAAGGTGGCTTTAAATCTAAATACAATCTGCCACCTTACCTACTGTATTCAGGCCACTGTGGCACAGTGAAGTTTGATTCATTGTTCGCTAAGGTCTCCTGAACACACAAGTTATTCAACCCCAACTAGACAGGATTAAAAAGGAAGTCCAGAGCAGGTTTATTTAAAATTCAAGCCATCTGCACTTCTGTTTTCTACAGTGCAGCTTGGAGAGATAATTTAATACAAGCTTAAGTCACGTGCGCAAGGAGATTTCATAGGAGGAGGTAGAGTGGTGTGCACAGTACAAACAGGAAATGGGAAATTCATCTTCGGAAAGAAGTTTTCCCCTCCCCAATTCGATAGAAGAAGCAAAGTTGCAATCTGACAGTCGCCAGGGATTTACTGCCCAGACTAGAATACAGGGTGCTGGATAACACAGTACTCAGAGCCAGCTATAGTTCTTTGCCAAATGATTTAAAATCCTCACTTCTGGAATCATGCAAGGTGTATTGCTATTTGGTTGGACGGTTGGGATGAGTATGAAAAACAATTACATGTGGACTTGTTTTCTGTTACGTTTTTACAAACTTGAAAGGCCCCGTTTCCACGCCTTCCTAAATTGCAGAGGCAGCTTGCAGAAATGGTTTCTCTGCATCTCTCAGACATGACGCTTTTCTGGATTCAGTCACCCAGCTCCTGTCCCCATCTCTGTCCTGGGGCGTCCAGCAGGATGTGAGCCTGCTCCTCCCAGCAGAGGGAGGCAGGTGTCACATCTTCCAGCAAGCAAGTACCGATCAAAGAGGATTTTTTTTTCCGCTTCGTCTTTTCTATTCTTGGAAGATCAGTAAGCATTAAAATTCTGCTGTGTACTAACAGTGAACCACAGTTTTCTTGATCAACCGTAAAAATATTGTTTTCATCAGAGAAGCTATGCGTTTAAAACTACATAATGGGAAAATGTTTTTTGATGGAAAGACTGAGTTTCTGTAACAGTGATCTGAATTGTTAAAATATATTAAGAAGGCCTAAATCTCTAGTGAATCGCTTGTTTATAGCTGCTGTGAATGTTGCTTCCAATGCGTTTTCGCTGGTAGAGCACTGAGAAAAATATGAAGACAATTTTCAAAGCAGCGTGTGATTCAGGTATTAAAATCCTCAAAGGCACTGACAAAGCCAGCCCGGTGCGGCTCTTCAGAATCTGTACAAGTGGAAATTCTGTGGAAATGCAATTAAAACTTGTAAAGGCGTTTCTTTGTGCAAGAGCCTGCGGTAGTCTAGAACAAGATGGCCAGCCATGTTGTTGAAGTCATTTTCCTCACTGCTTTCAAGTTATCGCAGGATGAGCTATCTGGAGCCGTAAGATACTAACTACCAAACTGGCTAGATGGGCTGGATGACCTCCTCACGTTTCTCATCTTCTTCAGGGAAGTGCTTGACGCGGCGAAAGTACAGTGTACGGCCCCCTCTAGTGGTTTCCAGGTGCTCCTACAAGTCGCGGTGACTGAAGAGAGTGATAAGAACCAGATGCTCCTCATTCAGCACATGAGCGAATGTGTTTGTGAACTTGGGCCTGCGCCTGGCCCAGCTTGGCTGTATCGCTTCGCCTGCGGATCCGATATCCGGGTCTTTATTCCCAAATCCTAAAAAGGGTGAAACCGTACGAAGAGGAAAACCACAAAGGCGAACCATTTTAGGCAAACAGAAAGACACTAGAACTGAAACCACTCCTTCCCTCCCCATCAATTGTGAAGGATTTGTTTGCTCTGTACTGTAGGACGGGGTTTTCCCTGAAAAGCAATTGGTTTGGAAGTTTTTTAATTGCTGATCGAAATGCGATATACAACGCAGTGTGTTTTTTTAGTAACACAAGCTGTGCCAAATAGACTGTGCACACACTGCGAACGGCTCTGCCAAACATACACAGGGCAACTTAAAAACCTAAGGGTGGCCAATACACAAACGGTAACTGCAGTGTATTTAGCATACTTATTGATTAACGACTCTGAAGTTATTCAAAACCTGTATCTGTCATAAAAGTAGGGAGGGAGATTTTTTTACATTTATGGACAGAAAACAATTCTATTGTAACAAAGTTTCTTTTTTATATCTTTCCATGCAGATTGTCTCTAAAGCCTCTCTAGTTGCATATCTCCGCTTTCCTTCAGGCAACATCTGAAACAAATGGCTGCTTTGAAAGAAATCTGGATTCTTTTCATCAAAATTTATTTGGCATTTTTGTCCTTTGGGAAGTGTGTGCACAGCGCTCAAATCGGACCCTTCTTTTGGGGACTATCCAGAAATTCACAGGTGGTTGGCAGCCCTGCTAGTGAAAGAAAAACCGCATCTGAATTCAAATGAGCAATTCCAAAGCAATGGTACAGCAATTACAGATCAGTCTAATGGCTCCAGCCCTGAGTCAGTCCTCACCATTTCCCTGTGCTTCCCAGGGAAATGAAATTAATGTAGCACGTCTGATGTACATCCACACAACAGGTTTGTATGCAACTCACTCAGAAGAAAAGAAGAAATCTGAGCTTGCATACAGCAGCACCTCCACCATCTGCCTGAGGCCTGGGTGGCAGACAGGCTGGTGTGCAATCTTTCATAGCGCTCAAAACAGGGAGCAGCTCAGCTTTGTCCTTTTTTTCAAACAACATGCTTGTTGTTATATAACTGCCATAAACCGAGCAGAACGCAAGAGCCGGATTCCAATGAAAAGGCTGGTTTGTTGCTTCATGTGATTGAAATGTGCAACTTCCCCTCCCTCCAGAAGGGTGGCGCCAGAGGAGTCCGGGGCTTCATCTCCCCAGGAAGTGGGAGGTGGGATGCATGATGGGTAAGTTGTGGCCGTGGTTCTAGGTCCTGGTTCTGGCTGACCGTTGTGGTTTGGCTGCTTAATCACCTGGTGCTGTAACTGATCTGCCTGCTATTTTAGACTATTTCCTGCACTCAGTCCTTAGTTACAAAAATACCCCCAAAGCATTGTTTCCCACACCTTCAGCGCACAGAATGAAAAATGCGGTCTCTCCTCACCTTTGCTACTTAAGAATTTGCTCCCTTATTTCTGCCTGAACAGCTCTAAATAGCTCTAAATAATGATAAACTGATGATGCCCAGACTCAGGTGATAAAGATACTGTATCAGACATCTCCCACAGCGAGCCAATGTCTTTCCTTCTGAATAAATCCAATTGCTTATATTTCAGCTCACAGACCTGAATGAGAGCGGGCCTGAAACTCACTAATTAGTGAAATGGTAGGTAGGTCAGGTCCCCTTTTCAGGCCATAAAGGCCCATGGGGCCATCCCACACTGGAGGTGGAGGTGATGTGGTCAGCATCACACTCCGGTCAGCCTATTAACCCCAGAAGGTTTAACCCCCCAGTACTCATTTGGAAAGCAGGCTGAGTGGATCTGGGAGCCGTCTGGACATCTAGAAGACATTAGAGCCAACTCTGTCGCTTGCCCCTACCTGGGATTGAACCCTTGCCGTCTGAGCTAACATGGCTCCAATTAGCTAAATACCAATTCCAAATCTCGTTCAGCTTTTTAATAAGAAGCCTGAAACAGAAAATGAAAATGAAACAGCCTGTGATTAAGAGCTCAGCTGGAGCAGCAATGAGAAGACCCAGGGGCTGCCTAGGAATAGGACCGAGAAACACTGTACTGGGATATTTTGCAACCAAGGCCTGAGTGTGTAAAAAACAAAAAACAAACCAGCAAGCAGATAAATCATTGGCAGTAATTAACACTGGGGATTAAGGGCCCAGGAAGAACAGAAACCAGCAGACACAGAAGTACCCCAGGACAGGCATTGAGAACCACTGAGATATAACCGATCTAGTTTAATATGACACTGACAACTGTGATAATTAGAGGATTAATCTGATAGAGGTGAAGAGAACAGGTGGTATCTCGCGGGTTTGCTTGTATCAGCAATCCTGTAACTGTATTCTGAAACCAAGCAAGCTCCACTACTCTTACTCATGCTGTTCAGCATGGGAGCCTGAGTCTAGCCTTGCAGGGCTGCTGTCCAGCAGGTTTCAAAGGTCTCTTTAAATCTCCTGTTCCTGAAGAACAAGGACAGGCTTCAACATGTCCAATTAAGCAAGTAATGAGCTCAATTAAGTGTTTAAGGGCTGAGGTGAAAAGAAATCCAGAAACCTCCTGGCTCTCCTGGACTGGAGTTCTGTTCCTCTGCTGTAGTGCCTTTGTTCTT